TGCAGTAGTAACAGCAGCAACAGCATACATGTTACGGGCGTGGCAATGCGAATCGCGTGCACCGTTTCCCTCGGGAGGATATCCGGTGTGGAAACGTTCCATCCCTCTTTCCCGTCTCTCCTCTTTCACGATGTGTACGGTTACCCTCCCTTCGTCCTCCACCACCACCACCACCATCATCAGCAACCATCACTATCACCACCCTTCCTCGTTCTTCTTTCGTGGCGCTTCGTTTCTACTTATATGTTAATATATATACATGCTTATATACATATATACATACATATATATATATATACATGTATCTGTGTGTATGTACATATATATTATACATATATATATACTTGAATTGTTCTCGATTTATAAGTCTCATAAATGAATTAACCAATTACGTATGTAATTACTTACATATGTCATTAAGGATCCTTCGTAGATCATTGAAAAAAAATTCTGTTGATGTTACGACATTATTATTAAGAGTTGTTTTAGTTAGGGACATGTTTCAAAAAAATTACATACCTCTTTTTTTAAATATTTATAGTTGGCACATGACGAAAGGTCATGTACCAATTACTCGACTATTCTAAGAAGGATAGAGACAAAGATAGATAGATAGATAGAGAGAAGAGAATGGAAGGGGGAGGAGAGGGGGTCTGGTACATTGAGGAAAAAGAACAATCGTGGATTCCATTGGGTGTGTGTATGTACATACATATATCTTCGTGGCATCGCTTTCAGGAATCGTACGGTTTAATTGCCTAATTAACCGCAACGCGCAGGCGGATCGTAAAGAAGCCGGTATTTAATAGACAGAGAAAAAGCGAGAGAGAGAGAGAGAGAGAGAGAGAGAGAGAAAACAGTATATACATACGCGTTAAAATCTTTTTTTTTTTTTTTTTAATAACGTTCTCTCTCTCTCTCTCTCTCTCTCTCTCGCGCGCGGATGCCCACGCGCGATATTATTCAATCAATTTTCACGCGTATTATTGCTCGAAAGATTTGGCAGAACAATAAAAAAAAAAAAAGAAAAAAAAAAAGAAAAAGGAAATCACAAAAAAAAAAGAAAAGAAGAGAAAAATGATCATAAATAATAATAATTCGTAAAGTTGAATGTGTTACAAGAGGCGCACGATAGTTAACGATAAATAAAACGAGAAGTGTGATAGAAAAGAATAAAAATCAAGAAAAAAAAAAAAAGAAAGAAAAAGAAATATGAAAAGAAAAAAAAACAAAAAGAAAAAAGAAAAGGAAAAGAAGAAAAAGGAAAAAAAAGCGTCGTTGTTGGGTCTCTTATCGTTTCCGGTTCGTAGCTTTGATTTCTGTTTTTAGAACTCGACTAGCGTAGATTCTCTCGATGACGTCTCGCAGAAAGAGAGAGAGAGAGAGAGAGAGAGAGAGAGATAAACTACGTTCCTAGAAAATAAAAAGTTAGGATAATATCTCTTCGGCGTGAATGAGAGAAGTAAATATTAAATCGAAGAGAGATCTAACGCTATATATATATATATATATATATATATATATATATATATATATACATATATATATATGCATAGACTTAGAAATAGAGAGAGAGAGAGAGAAAGAGAGAAAGAGAGAAAGAGAGAGAGAGAGAGAGGATACGTAGAAGGACGAACGTAACTACTCGTCTATCTACGCGATCTCCCGTGACCTAAGTCACAATGAACAACACAACACGCGCACGTATGCACGACACACACCTAGAAACAGACACAGACAGACAGACAAACGGACGGTCGTCCAACAGATATAAACAGATTCATATACACGCGACACATACACACACACACACACACATACACAACGCACATACATAATACACACGCTTGGGAATCGTACAAACAAACGGATATACGATATGCCGGATACGTGTTGTACGCGCGTATGTCACATATAGACAAGAGAAGAGAGGGATAACTTGCAGTCGCATGAATGACTCGAAATGACGTGTGTTCATTGAGCGAGCCGTGCCATGCCGACTTGGTGCTCTCTCTCTCTCTTTCTCTCTCTCTTTCTTTTTCTCTCTTTCTCTTTATCTCTCTCTATCTCTCTTTCTCTCTCTCTCTCTCTCTCTCTCTCTCTCTCGGTTGCTTCTCTCGCAGCAAGGACACGGCATATATTCCGAGCGTTCCAGCAATGGGCACAAACCGCACGATTATTATTTTTTTCTTCTTTTTTTTTCCTCTTTTTTTTTTTTTTTTTTTTTTTTTTTTACAATTTACTACACTCTGTTCTTCTTTTTTTTGTTTTCCTTTTACCTCGTTGCGCTGCTTCCTCTATACGTCTTGCTTGAATATGCAAAAATCATATATATATATATATATATATGAGTGTGTGTGTATGTGTATATATCTTGACGGACTTGATCGATCGATAAAACGGAATATACGTTTTTTTTCCAGTAGTACTCTTATAAAAAAGAAAAAGAAAAAAAAATAAGAATAAACAAAAAAAAAAAATAAGAAGAATAATAAACAAAAGAAAAAAAAGGAAAAGAAAAAGAATGGCAAGGACAAAAATAACAACGAAATGAAGATGAAAATAGGATAATTGATATCAATGGAAATGGTAAATCTCATTTTTACCGTCATATTTTCTTATTAAAAATAAAAAAAAATAAAAAAAAAAAAGTTATTAAAAAACAAAAATAAACAAAAAAGAAAGAGAATAACAGGAAATAAGAATGAATAAAATTGATACGTACTGAATGATCGCAAGAGGAAAGAAATATT